ATGAGTTATTCAATATTTGTTTTGCCTTATGCTATTTCTAACAAACCTAATTAGTTTGATTACATTTTTACATCTCTAATAAGGGCTCAATTTACACTAGTCTTTAGATATACGGGTTTAATTATTAGAACACTTATGTAACATCAACACATTTTATGTTGTTCAAGATGAGCATTGATGAAATTTGAAACTGAGTTTAAGCCCAGTGGGTTTGTTAAATAGTAATTTTGGTACGTGTGTCAAAAAGTTTTTAATCTGTTTAAAGCAGATAAGACCAAAAATGTAGAATTTAGTTCTACATTAACAATATTATTGAAATTAAATGAGATGTAGTTGTGCCGTGGTCTATATATCAGAGAAAAGAGGATTTTTATTTTAACTGTTAATTTTCTACAAAAATAAATAAAATCTAACAAAAAACCACTAAGTGGTAACACTTTCCCCGCCAGGTCAGCAATCCAAAAAAGTTAATAAATCATTACTTTTTCCGCCAAGAAAAACAATGTAATGTATGTAAGTTTGGCAACTTGGCGGCAGACTTTTGCTTGGTTTTTTTTTTCATTTAAGTTACGTTCGTGGATAATTTCACAAATCAACTTCTCTAATTAATTAGTCCAACTAAGTATAATTTATGAAATGTGGCACAAATAAGGTAAAATTTTGTAAAATAAGCTCTCACCTAGCAATGTACCAATGGGAGGGATACTTGCTCAATGAAACTAGTTTTATGGTATTTTTTAAAGGGACTTTTGCTCGATCCCTTTAAAAAATACCATAAAACTAGTTTCATTGAGCAAGTATCCCTCCCATTGGTACATTGCTAGGTGAGAGCTTATTTTACAAAATTTGACCTTATTTGTGCCACATTTCATAAATTATACTTAGTTGGACTAATTAATTAGAGAAGTTGATTTGTGAAATTATCCACGAACGTAACTTAAATGAAAAAAAACCAAGCAAAAGTCTGCCGCCAAGTTGCCAAACTTACATACATTACATTGTTTTTCTTGGCGGAAAAAGTAATGATTTATTAACTTTTTTGGATTGCTGACCTGGCGGGGAAAGTGTTACCACTTAGTGGTTTTTTGTTAGATTTCTTGTATGGTGTGTAAATGGAAATTAAATATTTCTTTATTATATACTAGCTGTACCCCGCGGGCTTTGCCCCGTTTAACTTTATAAGTGAGCTCGTTCGCATGGCTCAATCACGTCCTGGTTGAAGTTCGTTCGCTACGCTCACTCACTTTTAGGTTGGAGCTCGTTCGCTGCGCTCACTTGCCTTCAGGTTAGCTCGTTCGCTATGCTAACTCGCCTCCAAGTTGAAGTTCGTTCGCTACACTCACTCACCTTTTGGTTACAAATTAGCTGTTGTCATAAATGTAAAAGAAATAATAGCGCTGCATGTTGTAAATGGACTTAAATTATGTAGAATGATAAAGAGAAAGGTGTTTTAGGTACAAGTTTTACTTAATACAAAACCACAACATAGCTTTCCACAAAACACATCTGGTATCCATGACAACTAACTTATACATAGAACACATGTGATACCAAAATGAACTATTCACACAAATCATATTTCAACACCCTCCTTATTTGTGGAATCCCTGGAACTTAATGCAGTCTCTGAATTTTTCACAGTCAAGCCTTTGTTGGAGAATAGGTGAAAATGTTTCGTCAAAATCTGTTCCCCTCCTTTGATCGAATCCTTTGACAATGTTCCCCTCCTTTGGTCGAATCCTTTGACAAGTCACCTGACCCTTGTCATTTTCCTTTGATTTGAAAACCCATTTACAGTTTAAGGGTTTCCTCAAGGCTGGGGTTTCGACCAATTCACAAGTCTTATTTTCGATTTGAGACTTAAACTCACGGTCCATAGTGTTCTTCCAAGAGTCTTTGAACTCACTATTCAATGCTTCTTCGCGAGATATTGGATCGGATAGCTCGCCAGAGAAATAAGTAACATAATCGTTCAACGCAACTGGGAGGTTTCTGACGCGCTGCGGTCGAGTTGTTGTGTCCGGAATAATGTTCATGTCAGTAACATCAGTTACATCGTCGTTACTTCGGTTTACATCGGATCCTGTAGGAAGCACATCATCATTATTGGGCACACTTGGACCGGTTTGTGTCTGACCACTAGTACTGTCCTGACTATCAGACAAATTTTCTGTTGTTTCGGGAAACACATAAAAATCAAAGTCTTTACTCACATTTTTCAATAAAGAACTTCCCCACTGATTTTCAGAAAAAGTAACGTCCCTAGATATGAAAGTAATTTTCTTCTGAGGATCATACAATCTGTACCCTTTACTAAACTGACAATAACCGACAAATATACAAGGAGTAGATCGTGGACTAAGTTTTTTACGTTTCTCGGCAGGAATGTGAGCAAATGCCTTACAACCAAAAATTCTGAGATGTTGTAGAGTAAGCTTGTTACCTGACCACACTTGTATTGGAGTTGGTTCCACGGACCTGCATGGTGATCTGTTCAGAAGGTAAGCAGCAGTATTCACAGCTTCAGCCCAAAAACTAGATGGAAGCCCAGACTCTATCAGCAAACATCTTGCTCGTTCTAGGAGGGAACGGTTGAGACGCTCTGCCTTTCCGTTTTGCTGAGGTGTGTAAGGACATGTAGTTTGATGCACAATACCTGATGACTTAAAAAACTCAGTTAAGTTGCGATTACAGTACTCCGTACCATTATCTGTACGCAACACTTTTATCTTCTTGTCAGTTTGTTTTTCAGCAAACTCTTTGAACGTTTTAAAGTGACCATTGACTTCGTCCTTTGATTTTAAAAAATAAACAAAACACATGTGACTGTAGTCATCTAAAAAGGTCAAAATATACCTAGACCCTCCAAGACTATTCACTTCCATAGGACCTACCAAGTCAGAATGTACTAGCTCCAGATAATGGCTACTTTTAGACTCACTCTTAGGAAAAGGTAAACGATGGCTTTTTCCTAACATACAGATATCACAAATAGTTTCTGGCTTACTACCAGAAATGTTGATATCATCAGCTAAGCCATCAACTAATCTTGTAAGGCTATTGAAATTCAAATGTCCCATACGCTGATGCCAGAGCGTTAAGCCACTGCTTTGCATGGATAATGCAGATGTGTTCGTAGGCATATCCAATTTAAAAAGATTGTTTATTAAACTAGCAGAAGCAATGAGCTGACCTGTTGAATTGAAAACTTTGGCTCCATCACTATTGAATACCACAGAGTTTCCTTTATTTACAATTTGACTCACTGATAAAAGATTAACTTTTAAGTTAGGCACAAAATGTACATTACTTACATTTGCTTCCGAGACCTCACCAGAAATACATATTGGAAGCTCCAAATCACCGACTGTATCAGTCACCATTGTCTCATTATTCGCTGTGGTGATAGTTAGTGCTTGGCCTTTTCTTGCGTTCAGAAGCATGTTAACGTCAACACATAAATGACAAGATGCACCGCTGTCTAAAAAGAACTCATTACTAACGCCCGATTGCATTGAAAATGCAGCAAAGAGTGACGTATTAGATTTGCCAGAGTTTACGTTATTTTTGCCCACTAATCTCGTAGATGTACAGTTCTTTGAGATGTGACCGTAAACATTACATTTATAACATCTCGGACCTTTCTTCATATTTGTGTCCGAACTACTCGTGTTTCTGTTCTTTTGATACACTTTGTGAACTGTCCCTCTTGAACTGGAACCATACAGTGCAGAATCAGTTCCTGCAAAAGTCATATCACGTTGTACTGGAGACACATCTTGCAATAACTTCGTTTTTATCGCATCCGCCGTGACTTTATTGCCTGAAGATTCAATTCCCATTATCATTGGTTCATACCGGATGGGTAAACCTGCTAGTAAGATTGTTCCAACCCATTCATCGGTTACCTGCAGACCCACATTTGTAAGCTTGTGAGCAGTTGTGACTATGCGGTTCACGTATTCCTCAACAGAACTACAATCTTCCAGCTTTGTAGTTATTAGAATACGGAGAAGTCCAACTCTCCTGCTTAATCCATCATCTTGAAAAGCCTTCGTTAAATTGTCCCAAGCTGCCTTTGCGGTGGTTGTGTTTTGAATATGTACATAATTCACCGGATCAACCAATAAGATCAGCTTTGACCGACATTTAGTGTCCTTTTTCTTATCCTGTTCTACACCAGATACGCAGTCCCACAAATCCAAATCTTCCAGGTAAGCTTGTACTGCAAACTTCCATGTGTCAAAATTCTCACGACCTTTAAGCCTTTCAATTGGTAATGAATTTTGAGTCATATTGCTGTTACAAACTTATGAAGTTGGTATTCTTTAAATGAAGCACTGAATAAAATATCCTGGGCCCATAACCTGTTGTAAATGGACTTAAATTATGTAGAATGATAAAGAGAAAGGTGTTTTAGGTACAAGTTTTACTTAATACAAAACCACAACATAGCTTTCCACAAAACACATCTGGTATCCATGACAAATACATAGAACACATGTGATACCAAAATGAACTATTCACACAAATCATATTTCAACACTGCACCCTGTTTGGTAATCCTTGTAACTTAAATGCTATTGAACATCATAGAACAAGAACAGAACCAACTTGTTTAATTGAAACAGCTGTTAAGATTCATTAATTCCATTTAAATATGAGTACTCATAAGGTTAACATGGGATACTCCAGAACCACTGGGGCGGAGCCCGAGAGTCCGATCAGAATAAAAACAGCTTAGTTTTCCTATTTAATGCCTAAAGAATCAGTGTGCCAAATTTCAGCCTCCTAGGTAAATGGGAAGTAAGAGAATTAGTGATGAGTGAGTGAGTGAGTCAGTCAGTCAGTGAGTCAGTGAGGGCTTTGCCTTTTATATAGATTATACTAATGTATAAAAGCTTGCATTTATGCTATGAGTTCATAAATATTCATAAGAATAAATATTCATAAGTTCATAAGAGTAATAGCTAAACCTCTCTTTAATTTTAACTTGACAGGAGGTTGAACATGAGAGGAACGAACTTATTCTGCAGATGCTGGAGAGAGAGGTAGCTAGACTGCAGTCCTTCTACTCAAGGCTTGAGTGCGGGCATGGCAGAGGTGTATAAATATCATGTTAAACGTTTACAAATAAATAAATATTTCAGCAACCTAGTGTTTGTTATATTTTACAACCATTTTTGAATTAAATTGTAGTTCAATGTTTTTATAGATGGGTCCTTATTATAACAAAATAAGGACAAGCATTCAAGGTTACAAGCCTATTATACAAAATAAGAACTTAATAATTTTATTTGCAGTAGTTCACAAATGGTATTAATTCGAATAAAAGAAACAAATTACAGTACCGACTACGAAAAATAGATATTCCAAAACCTGTAAAAGATCCAAATTAAATGTTCTATCTTTTTACATCCCAATAAACTACTATTTAAGTTAGAAGACCATAGATAAAACATACTCCCTTAGTAGATTTCTCATCCTTGTGGATCAGCTGAATACAATTTTATTGTTAGTTCTGTCCAGTGCACTGTCTTAAGAGGTCGTGTTTTGTTTACAATTTTATTCTTGTTTTCAGTCATTCAAAACCTTGTTTAAACGAATAAAACGTTCTAATCATAACTAATAACTCGTCCCCTAGTTATATAACCAAACAGTAGAGAACAATGTTAGTAATTAACTGTAAAATAATAGAAACAAAATTATGTCGACACTAGTGATCAGTGTTTTGGTGACACACACCGAAACACTGAGGCCATGTCACGAACTAATTGGAGATGAACTAGGCACGAAAAACAAGCTTCAAAATTTACAATGGGATGTGAAGTCTACTTTAGTTGGTTAGGCCTACTCTATGGTAAGACTATAATGCATTTTCCAACCTAATAATAATCATAAGAATAATAATAAACATACTTCTGAGAATATACATTTATTTGATCGACTACATTGCTCTAACTTCCTAATTATTCGTAGGATACGACATTATGGTACTAGCGACTTCCGTACTTGGACGGAATTCGCTAACCCCGCTTAGACGGGTTCCGGAGTTAGCCAATTCCGAAACCCAACAAGTAAGCGAGTTCCTCTCATAAACCAAATTTGAAGATAGGGCGTTGAACATGGGGTTTGCGAGTTCCAGAGTTGGCCATTTCCGCAGACCCTCACAAGGTAGATGACCTGATGACCACTTTGAAACTGAAGTGGAAAGATGTTTCCATATTGGGGTCTTAATTAGAAGAGGCATGTGATAAAAGAAAATGAAGGCATTTTTTTGTGAGGCCAGAAACCTTTTAAGGTTTCAGTGGCCACAGAAGTAACATAAAGTAATAGTATGCTATGGAAGGTAGTATGTACCTACTTCTAACCAGTGTGGATATCGGCTCCAATCTAACTTCAAGGTTTGCTGTTTTACAAGTTGCTGTTTGTTGACAAAGCTGCTGTTTTGTTGTAAAATCATTAGATTCAAATTAATATGCTGTCAGATGAAAAATAGGTGGCAATGTTACATTTGTTTAAAAGGTTTTTTTATATTTAAAACTATCAGAATTTGCCTTTATGCAGGTTAATATCTGGATGATAATGTTTTTGACTGCAGCTCTTGAGAAATTCGAACTTAATAAGTAAATAGCTGAAAAAATATAGTGTAAACTGAGTATTTGTGATCCCTGTGCTAGAACGTACCCACAGCTATTCAAGATTTTATCTAGTGGTTAAGGTTTTTAGAAAAATTTAAATAATTACAATAATTTAAAAACAAGTTAATGAATAAAATTTATTTTCAAAGCATTGCAAATTATGCTATAATAATTTAATCATGTTATAATTTTTCAGTAAATAACTTACAATTCAAAACTTTAGAGTTTTGAATTGTATGTTATTTAGAATGTTAAAATGTTTAATTAATCATTTACTAAATGTCTACTGAAAATAAAGTTTACTTAAAATCAAAACAAGTAATTATTTTTACGCTACAGGATGAATAGTAAAAATACTCCCAGTAAGGTTCAACAGCTTATTTTCCTCTAGTACAAGATTTACATTCTGAAAACTCCTGACCTGGGGTCTCTGGATCAGTACAATCTAAAGACAACTTTGCAATACTCAAGAAGAGCACAGCAAAGGGGCTTTAGCCTACTGTTTTGAAAGTGTTATGAAAGGAACAAAATCATCCTTAGTGCTCCTAAGAACATGTGGACGAGCAACAGAAATAATCCCAGAAAATTATATAAGCATGGATATGGAACCAGCGCAGGGGAACAAGTCGATGGCAGAACTAGAGTCCTTATATGTACCAATGATCACCAATCCAAGGTAGTTGAATCATTGTTTGCCGTTTGACCTTGTCATGAACTTGGATGACATCCACCTTGGCAAAACGATTTTCTGGTTGCAAAAGCACCTTGGTCGCACACTTAGCTGATCTCTATTATTAATGTCATATCCCCAAGTCAATTCAGCCAAACTGTTTGATATCAACATATTTCTCATGGGTCTGCCTTATCAGAGAAAGAGAAAACATTTATCAGCTCATAGATGACTTAATTTTATGGGAATGAAATATATTTTGAAATAATTAAGTGTTGTGTTAGATTATTTTCATCAATTGTCACAGGAAAGTTTCTTAACACTTAAATCTCTCTTAACCCTGCTTTCTATACCCCCATTCACTCTTTTAATAAATTTGTTTCATGAAATTTTCTCCACACTCACAAATTCCAACCTGTAAAATTTAGGCTCTTATAAAACAGACTTGTCATAGATTCAATATTTACGAGTATTTGAATAAGTTGTTCAATGGTCTAGTTATCTCACACATAGGCCAGGCTTTTGACCTCACAGTACCCTTTTGGCCGCTTGAGGCTTGTTTTTTGAGGTTCAGTAGCTTTCAAATATATTTTTGGGTTTACAACTGTTATCATGATGGGTTTTCACTAAGTTTTAACCAAGATTAATTAATCATCGAATATCATTTTTTAATTACAAACTTTTAAAAAAAGCTTATCATTGAAGACAATATCAAATGAGTTGCATCATTTAATTTAGTATTCTGCAATTGTGATTAGCTTAGTTAAAAAAGTAATTTCCAATAAACCAATGAGGCGGAGGATCTGGGGACTGATTTATCGGGCTTATGACTTTGTCCGAGTTATCAATTGTTGGACAAGAGACAGATGTCAGGTTATCAGACAGATAGTGCCAGATCAAAGTGCACCTCTCCAAGGCATATGTTTTAATAGAGTGTAAACTCTACCACAAACACCATCTCCCCACCAGCTCTACTAGAGGTGAGTTCTTCTCTAGACTTTAAGGAACCATACTTTTGGGTATTACAGCTACTAACTGTTTGAAGAACGGGGAGTGGTTCTTCTGAATCCCATAGGTTTTTATTGAGCGTTACATTTTAAATTTTATTGAGGACTAGCTGTTACTTTGTTGGCTTTGTCCAACATGCTTTTGGGTTTTATTATGAATCGGCTGAAGTTGTGACTTCACTACGGGCCAACATGGCCTCTTACATTATTTATCTGTATAATAATAGTTATTAAGGATTGAATCCATTGTAATAGCCTAATCACAATCAATCAATTCAATTCAAATCAATTACTTAAGCTAATTAGACAAATACAAATGGGACTACTGAAGTCAAACTAAGGGAGAACTTCATTCGAAAAATTTACTGCCTTTCTACCAAGAGCTTCAAACTGATCCCTGGAACAAAATCTCAATGTTTTTTTACCAAAATACTGTTCTATCTCCTTTCACTTATAGTTATACCCTTAAACCAAAATTGCCAATATAAGCCAGTCAAAATATATAAATTAATGACCCAACCTCCAAAAAAATACGAAAGTCTGGAAACTTTGGAAACCAAAAGTCCCCATAAATATAAAGGCGAGCTCTAGCGGCAATTAGCTAAAACAGGGCCCATTATTTGGTTTTTGGCTAAAATCTCGAGAACTATTTGTCGGAGCTAAATGTGACCATTTACTAAATAAATGATTATTAAATTTCCAACAAAAATAACATTTACACTTTTATTCTATTCTTAATGGTTTCCGAGTTATAGGGCGCTAAAATATGGCGTTTTTGGTAGGTACCTACTGTAGCTTTTTACCAAGATATAGTTTAAGTTTTGTAGACATCATTTTAGGTATTCAGTATTAATGAATGGATAATTCATGCGAAATAATACATTTTTACATCGTAAGGGTTGTTTGTAGTACCCAGGAGTTTTTTTTTAACCACGCTGGGGACGTACAATGTGGCATTTCTAATAATATTTGACAATGTATTTTTGGATACCAACAATTATTGAGGGGTTCACAACTTTGTATGAAAAATTCCATAGAAAATTATGTACAGAAAACTCAATCAACTCGTGATCGCTTCTTGGTAGAAATCCCTGCCATCGGGTTTCTGTACTTGCTGCCTGAATCACGGTAAGAAAAGGTAACTATGTACGACATGATGGTGTGAGAGAACCATTATACAGACAAGATCATTTAGGGATAGGGGTCAAATTCTATTAAATCATTCAATGGTAGTTGCTGATGAATTTTATTATTTTGCAATATTTTGAGAACAAGTATTATGACACCTAGAGTTATTTAATTTGAGGGAGTTACTTAATTTTTAATGTTTTTGAGGCCATAATAAAAACAGCTAATTTAGCACTTTGAAGTGCTTTATGGAATTTAAAATATTTCCTTAAAGTTAAAGAGAAAGGTAATTAAGGAAACGAAGAGTAAACTAATATGATGAAAGTAAACAAATAGTAAATCAACATAAGAACATTACAACCGATTTAGCAAGGTAATTGAATAACAAGGAAATACAAATGTGCAATCTCACTTGACTTCTAGTTAAGCGTCCAGCAAATACAGTGTTTTGATCTATAAAATGCTCGGTGTTTGTTATTTGCACTGAATGATCCGTTTCTTTAAGGTTCATCTATCTATATATTAATAGGCAAGCATGTTTCTTTAAAACCTTTTTTCTCAGCTTGTGTGCATCGTGGGGTAAATCTACGCATACCGTTAGAAAGCTATTTTCCTGTAGGTGTGCAGAATCCCTTTATAAATTTAAATAGGCTCAAAGATAAGCACAAAAAATGAGTTTACAAATTTGAAAAAATTAACATGGATCTTATGCGTTGCCATGCTGGTGACGAAATAACAAAGAAATATAAACAGAAAATCAAAACAAAATGGAAGAAACTCCAATCACATGTTTTATTTACAGTGTGGGGTGAAAATAGAGAAGTGAGTACATTACATATTTTTGGTCGAGTTTCGACCACTGGATGACCTCTCGTACTTATTTAATACGCAAGCAGATTTTTTGTGACAATTACTCTTCCGAAACTACTGAACCGATTGACATGTTTTTGGTGTCATTGGAAAGAGCGTAACGTGAAGTTGTGCAGGAAACTTTCTTTTTAAGGAAATAATGAGAGATTGAGGCCCTGGAGCCCTTTAAAGTTTCGTATTTCTCCATAAGGATAACATGGGAGATAGTTTTTATTTACAGAAACATATGTCGATTGACATGTTTTTGGTGTCATTGGAAAGAGCGTAACGTGAAGTTGTGCAGGAAACTTTCTTTTTAAGGAAATAATGAGAGATTGAGGCCCTGGAGCCCTTTAAAGTTTCGTATTTCTCCATAAGGATAACATGGGAGATAGTTTTTATTTACAGAAACATATGTTTGTTACTTGAAAATAGTCAAAGTCTACTACATAATAATTGCTGTGTATTATGACTCTTAATGTATACCTACTACATTTCAATCAAGGATTGTGTACCTTAAAGTTTACCCATAATGGATTTTACTACTTTATTTTAATGCTGGGAATAGTACAATTTAGTGGAGAATAAGTTACCATGATTTAGAAAACTTTACTATAAAAATGTTTGTATTTAAATCACAAATCTTTGACATTATTAATTCATTTGAAACTAAACAGCTGATCGACAAATCAAACAAATCATCTACTTCATGTGAATAATGTTATTACACAAACATAGTTTTTTAACCATTAATGCTGGGAATAGTACAATTTAGTGGATACCATGATTTAGAAAACATTACTATAAAAATTTTTGTATTTAAATCACAAATCTTTGACATTATTAATTCATTTGAAACTAAACAGCTGATCGACAAATCAAACAAATCATCTACTTCATGTGAATAATGTTATTACACAAACATGGTTTTTTAACCAATATATCATGATTCTTTTTTACTTGTGGGTGTATTTTGAGTTTGCCGTTATGAAAGCACCAAGCCAAGTAACTTTTATCAAATTTTCTTTATAAACTAAGAGTATTAATGAATTACTACATGAACTTGACAAGTCAGGTAATTAATTGTCAGTATAGTATACCAAGGGGAAGAAGAGTTGGTCCATGAAAACAGACGAAGGCGGAGACACCCATCTAGAAAATCCAACTGAGTTTTTAAATATAGAGGTCAGTGGATTGCCAAGACACAGATTAGACTAATAAAAGGGGACAGTGGTTTTATTGATGAGGAATATTAATACATCAAAAAGGGCCTTATTAATGTCACAAGGCTTCACGTGATCAGAATGGTTAACAAACTTAATAGAATGTAAAGTCTTAACTGGAACAAGTGAGTGGGGACGTATTTTGATTTCGAGGAAAAAATTTACCCGTCTGAAACAAACTTACCTTTTGAAATGGAAAGATGCTAATTTCTGTTACCAAGGCATTTGCAGCGCTGTTCTTACCCAGACCAATTTTAGTCATGAGCAAATATATTATATATGTTGTTTTAAGTAAGGCTACATCTTTTAATAGGATACGCATATTCGTTACGGAAAACTCTGACCAGGGTAATCTTCCTGAAGGTAACTTTAAGGCTAAAATCGTAGTATTCATGGAAGTGCTTTTGTGATAAAAATATTGTTTTTTAGTGTTTGTTTTTAAATGTGTGTTTTCCTTAAGCAGCATTTTTATGACCCTCAAAATTGCTACATAGGCCTTGGTTTGATTGGTTTGATATGATAAAATGTTGTGTTAAATGTGTTAATCTTTAAAAAATAACTACCCTATAACCTTGCTTGCTGCCTATAACATACTTGAACTTGAACACTTATTTACTAAATGTAATACACATACAGCTAGAAAATGGCTGGACTGCTTCCCTTTCAAGGCTTCATTATTACTGTTTAATTTTCGTCGTCGAGTCAATATATAATACGATGAATTTCTTTTCTAAATTCATATGTTATTTTGCGGGGCATTGAGCCGCACAGGTTCACTAGTAATAATTAAATCATCAGGGTCGTCAAAGTCTTCGAAGGTGGAAGTAACACCATTCAAGCAATCTCCGTGGCAATTGTGATATGTTTACAAAACGTCAATGAAATCTGGGTAAAAAGCTACGGTAGGTACCTACTTTAGTTTGCACCGTTGTTGGCACCCCGAAAGTTATTTGAGAAAAAACGCCATATTTTAGAGCCCTTTAACCCCGTAACCATTAGGAATTTAATCAAATTCAATTTTAATCAAATTGAATCAAATAAAAGTGTAGATATATTTTTTGTTGAAAATTTAATGATCTTTCAATTGGTATGTAGCCACTTTTAACTCCGACCAACGGTTCTTGAGATTTTAGCCAAAAACCATAAAAGGTGCCCTGTTTTCGCTAATTGCCGCTAGAGCTCGCCTCATACTTTTGGGGACTTTTGGTATAATCTTATTTCGGTACCTAGAAATAAGTGTGCAAAGTTTCAAAACTTTCAGATTTTTTTCGGAGGTTGAACCTTTTTTTGACTGGACTAATCAGATCACAACAGTTTTGTAAAGAAACATACTGTATTTTTTTAGTCACAAAACCAACATGGCATGTATATTTAAGTTGATCTGACTTAAAGTGTCAATAAAAAGCGTTATAAGAACCCTCGTATAGGGATGTTTTGTGTGCCGTTTTCGGGCCGCAAAACACGATTATATCTTCTGATTAGGTACAACAACGTTGCATTCCATGTATTCAAGACAGAATCACCTTCATTGGCATGAAAACTGCAAAACAAAAACGTCTGTAAATACCCCTGCTGCAGCAAACCTGCCGACTAAGCGAATTTCTATTTGCCTAGATTGATTTTCAATTAATCTATTTTATTAACATTTATGTTTAACGAGTACCTAGGTTTGCTGCTACAGGGAAACTAATAATGATCAAAATATATCCATAAACAAGCCAACTACAACATTTTACAATCTATATTTATAAAAGAGGAAGTTTGTATATATAT